GGCTTCCCCAGGGCAGGTGAGGACCCCGGGTGGCCAAGGCGCGCGGGGGACGGTGGCTCTGCCTGCAGACGGGGGAACGGAGCGGGAGGAAGCCCAACGGAAGGATCTGGGCGCGAGGGTCAGGAGGCGCATCCAAGGGTCCGTGGCGCAATTTAAAGTGGGGGCTTGGAACAGATGTGTTTGCAACCGGGGCTGCTGTTCCCCCCCCCCCTCTCTCTCTCTCTCTCTCTCTCTCTCTCTCGCCAACGCGACACCCGCCTCCCCCTCCCCCCAGCAGCTCTCCAAGCCACTTTCCACCGGGCAGCCAAACGCTTTTGGAAGTGAGGTCGAGTCTGCTCCTGGGATCCTGGGGGAAATACCCCGGGCCCCTTTCCAAGTTCCTCTGGCTCAGGTCCCCTTCCTTCCCCTCCTGCCCTTCCCCTCCCCCTCCCCCGCCTCCCCTCCTCCCTCTAGCCCTCAGGTCGGTCCCCTTTCCTTCCTCCTCCTCCTCCTCCTCCTCCTCCTCCTCCTCCTCTTCATCCCCCTCCCCCTCCCCCTCTCCCACACTTTCCCCCAGACTTCTTGTGGGAAACGGGGACCGCCCAGTGTCCAGATGGGAACCGAGCTGTGTGGACACCCCCGCGAATCGGCTCTGGGGACAGATGGGGCCGGAGGTCCGAGCCGCAGGCGACTGGGAGGGACTCGCGGGGGCACCCCCGAGCCGCGGGGCAGGAAAGCTCCTAATTCTCCGCGCCGCCGACGGCGGAGCGAGACCCAGCGGGCCCTGGAAGCCGGCCAGGGGCGCAGAGCCTCCCGCCCGGCCGCTCCAGGTAGTCGGCGCTGGACCAGGAGCAAACCGCCAGCGGCTGGACTGTCCACCAGGGCAGGTCGGGGCGCCCTAGGAGCAGGGGTACCTGGGCGAGTCCCCCGCGGGGAGAAGGAGGACTGGGCGGAGGAGGTCGCTTGGAGAGCAAAGACCACGGGGTCGTTTGCAGCGCTGGGGCCAGGTCTGCCCGAGGGCGCTGGGTGCAGGGCGCAGGGCGCTGGCCCGAGAGCGCCTGGAGGAAGCAGCCGCAGGTCTGGCGCGCTGGCCAGCGGGCGGGGAGATCCCGGGCGCCCGGGCGAGGGAGTTCCCCCTCACCAAGCCCGGGAGCCGGTGGCGCCCGCGCTCAGCCGCGGAGCCCGAGCCTGGCGCGCAGCGGAACCGCGAGGCGCGCACACGGGCTTCAGGGAGGACCGACTTTGGGGTCCTCCACGCCTGGGCAAGCGGGAGGTTGCGGACCGCGCTCCCTTGCAGGAGCGAGAGACCAGAAGACCGCTGTGTCTTGTCCACGCACATCACTGTCCCCAAGTCAACCGCCTTCAAGAATTGGCCCAAACCATTTGGTAGCTAAGGCGTGACGGAAAACCCGCATCACCGCTCTCCAAACGAGGTGGCGGGGGCCGTCGAACATTCTTATGAGCGTTCCCCATTTGATGCATTTCGTTATAGATATTTTTTTGAACATTTCTGTTGGGTCGACACGTGTTTCCTTGATTTTTACAGAGGTTCACCCCAAGCTGAACTCCCAGCAAACCACCCTAGCGCACCATTAAAACCCATGCGAAACTTGGGCATTGAATGAAGACTATTCAAAAACAATTTTTTTTTTGCTTTTTAAATTTAAATTTGGATTGTGGATTTTGGCTCATGCTTTCGGAAGGCAGAGATTAAACTCGTGATTGATTATCATTATCTTTATTATTTTGCAAAAAACGTCAATATATCTCCGTGTTTCCAAATCCAACCATCAATGTCAAGACTGAAGGTCATTTTTCTACCCTCCTGACTAAAGAGAACGTGGACAGGTCACGACACCAGGTCTACTACGCTGCCCCGGAAAGTAAGACCCTCTCGCCTTCTCGCCCCGCAGGTGTCCCGGGACCCCGCACCCGCCCAGGATGCTGACGCAGGCGCAGTGGGGGGCACTCTCCGTGGTGCTGATGGTGGCCTGGGGCCAGCCGCCAGCCGCGCGGGCCTGTCCTCACCCTTGCTCCTGCTACGTGCCCAGCGAGGTCCACTGCACGTTCCGGTCCTTGCCTGCGGTTCCGGCTGGGATTTCCAAACACGTGGAGAGGATCAATTTGGGGTTGGTACCTCCTTCCTTGGGAGCAATTTCCATGTCTTTGCAGCGCGTCTCGATCGGGTTTTGCATAGATGCGTGCGTCTCTGCTGAACTTCTCTGGTGGGGGGGGTCCCTGTCCAGCGTGGCTCATCTTTGTGCTAGAAATAGAGATCACAGGTGTTTTATTTTTACTTATTTTCTTCCAAATGCATCCTCCCCCGCGATTATCTGGCTCTGTCCACCAATTGGCTGCAACATGCATGAAGTTGATTAACCGCTTTGCACCCACACGCTGGAGGCTGCCTCCATAGTTGGTCCATGTGGACGTCTGTGGCCACAAGGAAACACGCGCTGCCTATTTAGACAGAGAGACTTCGGACCCTGGGAATAAGTCAAATGGGTAGAAAACCTCGGCATCTCTTGGTAGGATTCTCTCATGGAGGATGCAAAAAAGGTCCTCTGTATTTGCCGATTGAAAATGAGAATATTCATGAAGTTTTACGAAACAAGGTCATCAGTTACTATGATAAAGTAATTTTTAAAATGAGATTCCTTCAAAGTCTCTCTCTCTCTCTCTCTTTCTTTTTGGGTACTAAGGATTGAACTCAGGGGCACTCGACCCCTGAGCCCCGTCCCCAGCCCTATTTTGCATTTTATTTAGAGACAGGGTCTCCCTGAGTTGCTTAGGGCCTCGCTTTCGCGGAGGCTGGCTTTGAATTCGCCATCCTCCTGCCTCAGCCTCCTGAGCTGCTAGGATGACAGGCATGCACCACCGTGCCTGGCTCCTACTATTTCTCTGATGGGAGTAAAAATTGTCTAAACTGCCAGGCGTGGTAGTACGTGCCTCTAATCTCAGCAGCTTGGGAGGCTGAGGCAGGAGGATCACAAGTTGGAGGCCAGCCTCAGCAATTTAGCAAGGCCCTAAGCAAGTTAGTGAGACCCTGGCTCTAATAAAATACAAAAAGGGATTGGGGATGTGGCTCAGTGGATGAGCCCCTGGGTATAATTCCCAGTACCAAAAAAAAAAAAAAAAAAAAAATCCCCATGCATCCTTTCCAAGGTGAAGGCTGATGATTGTGGAACTGCTTTCAAGTTGCTTCATCTGTGTGATGATCCCCGTCCATCCTATAGCTGGTCTGGGATGTTTTTCCTACCAAACCCGTTTTAAACTGCATTCTTTTGTAAGCACGAAATGTAACCAGCCTGCAAATCAGAGCCCAGACTCTGCAGTTTTTGTCTTAAACATCCTATGATAAAGGCCAGGAGTCACGAAGCAGTAAGACATTAGAATGCTATTTCCTATTGGTGCCTGTGTCATCTTGAGATAGATTAGTGTCACATATAACAACAACAACAACAAAAAATGGTGTGTGGGGGGAGGCAGGGAGGTATCTGTAATCCTAGAGGCTGTGGAGGCTGAGGTAGGAGGATTGCAATCTGAAAACCAGCCTCAGCAACTTAGCAGGGCCCTAAGCAACTTAGTGAGACCCTGTCCCTAAATAAAAAAAATAAAATAAAGAGGCTGGGAATGTGGCTTAGTAGTTAAGCACCCCTGGGTTCAATCCTCAGAACCAAAAAATTTTAAAAAAATAGAAAGAAATTAAAATTCCATAAGGCGTCAGTTCATTGCACCAACAAGTATTTCCATTCCAACTGGCTTCATTTGTCATGTGGGTTAATAGATCATTTTTTTAAAAAAAAATCACTCATGATTTCACAGTAGACAGTGAAGCCGGCTTCGTGCATGTTTTTGCAAAATTAGAGACACAGCCCGAGACTCGGGGGTGAGGCCTGAACTGGGGATCTGATTTATCTCCCGGGCGGTTTGGAGAGGCAGCGCGAGTCTCCAGCAAGGAGGGCCCCTTGCCAGCGTCCTAATGAAATGTCTCCTTCCCACACAGCTGTGTTTAGTGTTCGCAGTTGGTATTGTTGCTCCCTGCTTGGAAAGCCTCAGAGCTTTCCAGAAAAAGGAGTTTTTCCAAATATTTTTTTTCCAAAGAGAGGCCCACACACAATCAGTCATCGAGCGTCGGGTCTAGACACTTTTAAAGATACCGTCCCCCCACCCCCTCGGATCACAAGACGAATTTGTTGAGATTTCTCCATCGCCCACATTCTTTTAAAAATAATTCTGCCGCTGTGCAGCGGTGTGGCACACGCCTGTCATCCGAGAGGCTCGGGAGGCTGAGATAGGAGGCTCAAAAGTTGGAGGCCAACTGAACAAGGCCCTAAACAACTTAGAGAGACCCTGTTTCTAAACAAAAGGTAAAAAGGTCTGGGGATGTGGCTCCGGGGTTCAGCACCCCTGGGTTCAAATAAATAAATGATCATATTTTTGCTTTTGATGCTCTGTGAGACTCCGTCTTGCATCGAGTGTCTAACATAAGCCGCTTTTTTTCCTGACTTTGCTATGTATGCAGTCGGTGCCCATCAATGGGTGATAAATATACTCTAGCATGTACATCTAGGTGCTTATATGTTGCAGAACGAGTTTCCAGCTGGATTTTAGGGGATGCAGAGATGATTGATGCTCATCCTCCATTGGTGGGTGCTAAGATAGACAGACAATCCGTCTTGGTCTTCCAATTCTTCTCCTGTCCACCCGCCATGACTTGTCCTCGGTGGCCAACGGGGCTGTTTGAATGCCCAGCTGGGTTCTTGCCGTCCCTTTCTTAACCACCCCCCGCCATTCACTAGCCCCTTGGACTTGGAATGAACATGGCTCTCCGGGCTCTTACTGACCCCACAAGCCCACCTGCTCCATCGAAGGCCATCCTCCCTCTGGTGACCATTTTCAGACCCAGCTAAGGATCCAAGAAACGGAAAAGGCTCTCGATGCCCATATGCATTGTCCTTAGGGAGTTCGCCACCCCAGACAGGGTGACTGAGGAATCCTAGGTAACGAGGCAGCGCAGAGGCCCTACCTGGGGACCGAGCAGGGCTGGTCCACCCCAGCACAGTCGACCCCGAGGACCTGTTTGCTGTTTGAGGTAAGGTGGTTCTAGCTCACAGGGCTGTCCTGGCCTCTCTAGGATTTCAGAAGCATCCCCCATGTGATGCTTAATTTAGATGTTAATGGCGTAATTGAGGCCAACAAGGAGGTCTCCAGAGGATTCCAAGTGTCCCCCAGGGGGTCACAGAAGTCCTATTTGAGAATCACTGCCATAGATGGATAGATGGTAGAGAGATAGGTAGATATGGAGATAGGTGATAAATAGATGGTCGATTAGATGATGGATAAATAGGTTATTCTTATTATTAGATAAATAGATTATTATTATTAAATGGTAATTGACATAAAGATAGATATATGGATGGACTATGGATGGATGGGTGGATGGATGGGTGGATGGGTGGGTGGATGGATGGATGGGTGGATGGGTGGGTGG